GTCTCTCAAGTAGCTGGGATTGCAGGAGTGCACCACCACGCCTGGCTAATTTTTATATTTTTAGTAGAGATGGGGTTTCACCATGTAGGCCAGGCTACTCTCAAACTCCTGACCTCACGTGATCCACCCACCTCGGCTTCCCAAAGTGCTGGGATTACAGGTGTGAGCCACTGCGCCTGGCCGTACTTTCCATGTTTTAAACATCGTTTTCAAACCACTGCATTCACAGTATTCCACAGTGTGGCTGCACCTTCAAAGTGTTTCTAACCAATTCCCCATTGATGAATATTTAGGTTGTTTCTGAGCTTTGACTTTTATTAAAAAATGCTGTGATGAATATCCTGTACACATTTATCCACCTACATGTGTATTTCTATAGGATAGATTTATAGTAGTATAATTCTTGGATCAGAGATAGTGTGCATTAAAGTATGTATCACAAGATTGCCTTCTTGAAAGATCGTTCCTAATTCCTCTGCTACTGGCAGTGGATGATAATATCTTCTAATCTGGTGAATTCTGATCCCCAAACTACACCACACAAAAGCTTGCAGTCCACTCCCTGCAGTGGTTCCTTGAAATGACCCAGGTTGTCCTTTTGTTCTTCTGATGACTGTTTCTTTATTTTTCCCTTCATTTGAATGATTAAAATCACTTTTATTGTGAATAGCATACATACCACAGGTTACAGAAAACTAACATTTATAGCTTAAAAAATAATAATATAATGGCTCTTAAGCATCTATCATGTAGGATAAGAGAGAGGACATTATCAGTGGTCTCTAAAGCCCCCATGTGTTCCTCCCTTTCTCGACCCTTTAATAAATATCACCTGAACCTTTGTGGGAACAATTCCTTTTCTTTAGAGTTTGCACATAAGTTTGTGCAGAGAATTTGTACTGCATCAGCATAGATAAGATAGAACTGTATTTCCCTAAATTCTCTTCCTTTCACATTTCCAGGTCAGCGAGGGGCCCGAAGGAACCTTGTATGTGAGATCTGGAAGGTGGAAGTGGAGCAGCAGCTACATTCTGTTTCAGCTCAGGAAGGTCAGTGCAAGGTACCAGATACCACCATATAAGTCACATACCTGCCGGCTTCTGTAGGCGTGGGGCCTGAGTTGGCCTGTAGCCCCTCAGGTGTGGGTTTACCTGCCTGGTGCAGGTGCCAGCTTCTCCATAGGCCATTCACATACTGAACTTGGATCAACACAGGTGTCAGCCTAACCTGGTAGGTTCCAACTCCTCCTGGCGATTCCCCACTTTACATCCATCTTTCCTTCCAGGCTGTCCATCCTACCAGCTTCAGATCCCAGCCAAGAAACAAAGCCAACAGCCTGACACTAATGGTTTAGCCACCTCCCACAGTTGCCTAGGGTCAAATGCTTGTCACAAATTCCTCCTCCCAGTGGTTTTGCTTCTCTGATTGGCCCCTGCCTGATAAGATATGTGTCCTCTGTAGAGGGGTTAGTTGTGCCTGCCTCTGAATTTTGTGTTGGGCTCTGATTGTGTCTTTATTTATTTATTTATTTATTTATTTATGAGATGGAGTTTCACTCTTGTTGCCCATGCTGGAGTGCAATGGCGTGATCTCGGCTTACTGCAACCTTCGCCTCCCAGGTTCAAGTGATTCTCCTGCCTCAGCCTCCCATGCAGCTGGGATTACAGGTGCCCATCACCACACCTAGCTAATTTTTGTGTTTTTAGTTAGAGACTGAGTTTCACCAAGTTGGCCAGGTTGGTCTTGAACTCCTGACCTCAGGTGATTTGCTCTCCTCGGCTTTCCAAAGTGCTGGGATTACAGGCGTGACCAACTGTGCCCGGCCACGACTGTGTCTTTAACTGTCTTGCCTGCCAGCCGAGAATAGGAAAACCCAGCCTGAGGCTGCTCCCACACCTGTGCCCCTGAGCCTCCGCTGGGGCACCCCTATCAGGATGACAGAGACTCCAGCAACCCCAGCTCAAGGCACAGATGAGTGCAGGTGCAGAAAATGTAGACTGATCTTACCCATGTGAGTGAAATGGTCTGAAAAGGTCATATCTACATGTAATTTTCCATCTGTCAGGTGCTCGCGCCGAAAAGCAAAATATCGGTTAAAAAAACGAACTGTCTAGGAATCTTATTTCAGCTCTACTACTGTCTAGCCATGAGATTTTGGCCAGGTTGCTTTGGTAAAGCTTCAGTTTCCTCGTTTATGTATGGAAATGCGGATCTTCAGGCCTCTTTGACTCTGCTATGCATGGTAGTGTGGTTCTCCCTGTGGGTCTGCATGTTATGAGTTTGAACAGGACATGCAGACTGAGGTGCTCTTTAGACTGGGTGCTGCCTTGATTTAATGAACAAAGGGAGCCCATCCTACAGAGACTGGGGATTGTGGTGGAGAGAGACACCATGAACTCAGAGAGATAGATAAAAATAGACAATGGTGTTAGAGTGAGTACAGGAAGCAAGAATGGCCAGTTCAGACCGAGCAGGCAGATCAGGCAGAAAGGTGCTGGACCCTGAGACCTTGGGACTCAGGCTCAGAAACATCGGAGGGAAGAAAGAAGTCAACAACTCAAAGGCAAGCCCCAGATTTGCCTGTCCTAGGGATGGTGTGGTTGGTAAATTATTTGTGCCAAGACCGTTCTTATGAGAGAGAGTCTGAAAGAGAGAGAGAGAGAGACAGACAGAGAGAGACAGACAGAGAGAGATTGGAGATAGAGATGAATTACAGAGTTCATGTAAGCATAATTTAATCTCTGCCTCATTTTCCTAGGCTGAGGGTATCCTTTTATTATCCTTGGAGAACCATGTTTCTTCCAGTCCTTGTTAGAGGAAAGAGCAGAGTCCTGAAACCAGTCCTTGTTAGAGGAAAGAGCAGAGTCCTGAAACCAGTCCTTGTTAGAGCAAAGAGCAGAATCCTGAAACTAGAGGCATAATTTGGCCTCCTCCCTCTGGGAGTCGTCTCGGGGAGCCACCTGGTCCATCAGCCTTGTCCAGGCAGAGCACCATTGGTTCCTCTGGCAAGTCAGGTCCTTGGTAAATACACGTTTCCCTGCATTTCCTGCTACTGAATCAGAAGCTGTTCCGAAGACTCAGCCAGAGCAGTTGAGTCATGCTTGGTCCTGAGTTTAGCAAGTGCCCAGCATAGAATGAGCAGGAAAGAAGGGATTGTTGTGCTGAATGCAATAGGAAAGGCAGTTTTGTGGCTTTTGAGTGGAAGTTCTCTGCCCCCAAGCCCTCCCACTCAGAGGTGTGCTCCTGCCTCCCTGTTTTCTCCTAGATTTAGTTGTTAACCTGAAGGGGGTTGTTTGGGAACTGAGGTCGTTTAGTTCCTCTTGCCTCCTTCCTTCCTTCTCAGGCTGCTCAGACCCAGACGCCCTCTAGACAAAGACCCTGCAGGGACAAGCCCTAGGAATGCGAGCTCCCCCAGGGCAAGGCACTGTCTGTCTTGATCTCTGCTGTATCCGCACTCTCCGAACAGTCAGCACTCCATGCTGTTGGAGGCATGATTCGAATCTTTTGTTTTCTCCTAATGACAGATTATAAACCACTTCCCCATTCTGCAATCGGGCTGTCCTGTCAAACCTGGAATGATGGGTGTGTGCTTGGGTGGGAGAGAGGGGAGAGGGTAGGGCACTCACAGCAGGTGCTGCTGGCTGAGCTGGGAGAGCTCTTTGCCTTCCTACTACGTGATCAGGGGGATTTGGTGAACTTACTCAACCCTCTGCACCTTCTAATTCTAAGTTTCACCCCTGACACTCCTGACTACTGCCTAACCCAAGGACATGAGAGGCCCTAAAGCATCCCAGAACACATTTCTTTCCATGATACGTGGTCTACAGCAGGAAGCTTGGGTTGGGGGCAAGGGGATGGCAAGACTGGGCTCCATCTCTATTGCATCCTTCTCTCTATGACACAACAAATAACAAAGAGATTTACTTCTTGTAAAGACTCTCACTCAAGACCTCTGCTCACCCTTGCCCCACCGCTCTGTAGCAATTTGGAAGCAGTAATATAAACACCCAAGTAAAAATGGTTTATTAAAAAAAAAGATATTAATGGAATCATTTAACAAAAAATATAGCCAGGTGGTTCCAGCCTTGGTTCCAGCCTTGGTTTAATCAGCCTTGGTGCTTAAAATACCTTTTAGGGCTTAGTTTTTTTTTTTTTTTTTTTTAAATTGATATAAAATATACATAACAAAATTGATCATTTTAACCATTTTAAGTGTCAATTTAGTGGCATTAAGTCACATTGCTGTACAATTATCACTACTGTTTATCTTCAGAACTTTTTCAACATCCCAAACATAAACCCTGTGCCCATTAAACCATCACTCCCCATGCTCCCCTCCCCTCAGTCCCTGGTAATCACTGTTCTGCTTTCTGTCTCTGTGAATTTGTTCACTCTCAGTACCTCATGTAAGTGGAATCATAGCTGTTTATGTCTGGCTTATTTCACTTAGCATAACAAGGTTCGTCCATGTTGTAACATGTATGAGTACTTCATTCCTCTTTCAGGCTGAAGGATACTTTGTTGTGTACATATCACATTTTGTTCAGCCATTCATTCATTCATTCATTCATTCATGCATGAACATTTGGGTTGTTTTTGCCTTTTGGGTCTTGTGGATAAGCTAATAAGCTGCTATGAACATTGGTGGACAATATGGGTTCAAGTCCCTGCTTTCACTTCCTGTGGGTCAATTCCTAGAAGTGGAATTGCAGGATCATGTGATAATTCTATGTCCGATGTTTTGAGGAAAGCTGCCATACTGTCTTCCGCAGTGGCCACACCATGTTACATTCCCGCCCTCAATGCTCAAGAGTCCCAGTTTCTCCTCTACATCTTCATGGACTGAGATAGAGTTCACTCGGTCACTCAGGCTGGAGTGCATGGGCACGATCTCAGCTCACTGCAACCTCTGCCTCCCGGGTTCAAGCGATTCTCCCACCTCAGCCTCCCAAGTAGCTGTGATTACAGGTACTTGTCACCATGCCCAGCTGATTTTTTTATTTTTGTATTTTTAGTAGAGACAGGGTTTCACTGTGTTGGCCAGGCTGGCCTCGAACCCCTGACCTCAAGTGATCTGCCCGACTCAGCCTCCCAAATTGCTGGGATTACAGGCCTGAGCCACAGCGCCCAGCCTGATTTTGTTTCTTCTGATACTAGCCATCCTAATGAGTATGCAGAGCTGTCTCACTGGAGGGTAGATTTTCACTTCTTAGAACACAGAGTGCCATGGGCTCAGGGGCGGGATGGACAGAGCTCCAGCAAGTGACGTAGTAATTATGGCAAGGGGTGAGGCACCAGGGCAGGCTTTCTAAACCATGCAAGAGAAACTAATAAGAACGTGGCCTCCTCTGCTTCCTGTGACCACAATGGGGGCTGCACGGACACTGAGACCAAGAAGAACCAGTGGACATGAGGCTTGGAATGTGACTGTGAAGAGAAGGGAGGAACCCCACGGGGCTGCACTTAGGCAGGACGTCTCAGAGAGTAGTGGAAGTGTGTCCTGAAGAAGAGCCAACAAAGGAAGGCCTGCTGTCTTTGGGCAGGGAGTCCTTGCTGATCAAGCCATGTGTGGCTAGAATCTTGAGGAGTCCATGGCGGAACTTCTGGCCAATGAAGGCGTAGATGAGGGGGTTGAGGCAGCTGTGAAGGATGCCCAGAATCTCGGTGGCATCCAGGGCCTGGTCGATGTCATTGCGGCGCTGACAGGTCTCGTTGATCAACCGGGTCCTCATGAGGGTGTCTGCCAGCAGGACCAGGTGGTAGGGCAGCCAGCAGAGTAGGAAGATGAGGACGACAGCAAAGATGACCCGCATGGCCCGGTGCTTCTGCCCCATGTGGGCCTTAAACAGCGTGCGCAGGGTGAATCCATAGCAGAACAGCATGATCAGCAGCGGCACCATGAAGCCAAAGGTCTGGGGCAGGACCCGCAACACCATCCGCCATTTTGCTGTATTGTTGCCCATGTCCTCATAGCAGACTGGGCTAATATAGGTCGGGTAGACAGTCCTTCGGAAAAGTAAGACGGGCAGGGCCAGGAGCAAGGACAGACCCCAGATGCTGAGACATACGAACTTGACCAAGTAGCGCTTCTGGGTCAGTGTGCGTGTGGCATGAACAATGGCCAGGTAACGGTCCACACTGATGCAAGCCAGTAGCAGGATGCCACTATAGAAGTTGACTTCCTTCAGGAGTGAGACCACCTTGCACAGGAGTGTGCCAAAAATCCAGCCATTCACCTTGGAGGCGGCCCAGATGGGCAAGGTCAGGGCAAAGAGTAGGTCGGCCATGGCCAGGTTCAGTAGGTAGACATCAGTGATGGAGCGGCCGACCCTGCTGTGTAAGATGACCAGCATCACGAGGGAGTTTCCCAGCAAGCTCAGCAGGAATACCAGGGCATAGATAATGACCACAAAATACTTGTTGATTTCCAGGGATTCTGGTCGACATGGGGCGACATCTGATAGAGAAGGGGGCAGGTCAGAGCTGTAACTGTAATTACTAAAATCTTCACCTTTCCAGAGATCTTCAAAATTGAAACTCTCCATGTTAATATCTTCTGTTTTTGAGGTAAACTTAAATCCTGACCTATAGAAGAGAGACGAAGGTTACTGCACAATAAATTCCCCAGATTCTTGCACATCCACCCAAGAAACTGGAATAGGATTCTTTGTGTTGGCTTGAGTATTACATTGAAGTAATTTTTCCCTACAAATTTGTAATCAGTAGCTCTTAGGTTATGAGATAAATTTGGTGATAAATGGTACATTTTATGAAAGGACTATAGTTCTCTTTAATATAAGAGAGAAATTCTTAGCATTTCTTTTAGCATCGCCATCACCTAAACCTTTGCAGAAAGTTCTCTTTGGACAGGCCCTGGTGTGTGATGTTCCCCTTCCTGTGTCTCAAGTGTTCTCATTGTTCAATTCCCATCTGTGAGTGAGAACACGCAGTGTTTGGTTTTCTGTTCTTGCGATAGTTTGTTGAGTATGATGGTTCCCAGCTGCATCCATGTCCCTACAAAGGACATGAACTCATCCTTTTTTATGGCTGCATAGTATTCCATGGTGTATATGGGCCAATTTTCTTAATCCAGTCTGTCATTGATGGACATTTGGGTTGGTTCCAAGTCTTTGCTATTGTGAATAGTGCCACAGTAAACATACGTGTGCATGTGTCTTTATAGCAGACATGGCACAGGTATACATATGTAACAAACCTGCACATTGTACACGTGTACCCTAGAACTTAAAGTGTAATAAAAACAAATAAAATAAAAAAATTATAAAATATATAACCCCCTCCCAAAAAAAAAGAAAGTTCTCTTTGGATAATCCCCACAGAACACTCAATACTGCCTGGATCCTGCAGTGGTGAGCATCTTTGGCTATCAAGGCTGGGTTTCATGTTCAGAAATGTGAGATGCCACTCAATTCTTTTTTTTTTTTTTTTTTTTTTTTTAGAGATGGGGTCTTGTTATGTTTCTCAGGATGGTCTTAAACTCCTGACCTCAAGTAATTCTGCTTCCTCTGTCTCCCAAAGTGCTGGGAATAAAGGCATGAGCCACTGCATTCAGCCCCATTCAGTTTTTAATCAGGGGATTAAGCAGGCACTCCAAATGGGCTGTACCCTCAGAAAAGATCATGGTTTGACTATAAAACTGAGGCATGAATCCCTTTGTTCAATTTTCTAAAAGTTGTTTTAAAAGAGGTACTCTGGAAAATGGTTTGAACAATTGTGGCATGGAGTTTTGGAAGGCTTGAGCTAGCAGAATCTTCAGTTAATTAGTAAGGTCCAGCGTTTCTCCTTTGGGTAGAAGGAGACCTGCTTTGGGAATGTATGTGTAGTTTGGAAAAGTATATTAAAAATAATAAGCAAGCGGGCTGCCTGATTCTCCCTGTGGGTGGAAACGTAACAGGTTATTCAGGGAGCTCTGGGCAGCCATGGCCACCATGCAGGATGAGCAGACACAGCCAGTCTGCTCCCCAATAAGAGAGAGGGACAGCAGGAAGCAGAGAAGACAGGGGTTGCACTACCCTTGCTTGGTGGCTCTCCAGCCCTGTTGGGGACCCTTCCTGTCCTGCATGTGTTTGTCTCCATCCAGCCCTGACTCCCCTGTTCCTCTCAGATTTAGTCTAACTCCCCGGGCTCTGCCCTTGCCACAAGGACAGCACAGATCCTGCTTTGGGGAAGCCTGGGTGTAGAGGGTGGGCTGCAGCTATTCAAAAATATGATCCTGACTGGGCGTGGTGGCTCACACCTGCAATCCCAGCACTTTGGGAAGCCAAGGTGGCAGGATCACTTGAGGTCAGGAGTTCGAGACCAGCCTGGCTAACATGGTAAAACGCTGTCTCCACTAAAATTACAAAAATTAGCCAGGTATGGTGATGCGCACCTGTAATCCCAACTACTTGGGAGGCTGAGGCACAAGAATCACTTGAACCCAGGAGGTGGAGGTTGCAGTGAGCTGAAATCACATCACTGCACTCCAGCCTGGGCAACAGAGTGAGACTCTGCCTCAAAAAAAAAAAAAAAAAATTCCCAGTTTCTCAAAGAAGAAGTCAACTAAAGCAATCCAGCTCCCTAATTAACTTCTTTTTGAACCACAAAACAGATCACCCTCCAGCCATTGCCTTAGAGTAAGGGATGACTATCCTACCACCAACCATGTCCAAGTCCATAACCTACCTCCAAATGGAACCCAGAGTCAGAGAAAAACCAGGAAGTTAAAGGTCCCAGGACCCACTTCACACTCACCAGGCTGGGCACACTCAGAAAAAGACGCCCAAGAACAATGTGGGTGAGGAAGTGGAAAAGTCAGAACTCTCCCATATTGCAGGTGGGAATGTAAGATGGTGCAGCTGCTTTGAAACACAGTTTAGCAGTTGCTCAAAAAAGTTCAAGATAGAGTTACCACATGAACCAGCAAACCCCATCCTAGGTATGTACCCAAGAGAATTGAAAGCTAATGTTCATAGCAGCAGTCATCATTAAGCTCAAAAAGTGGAAAGAAACCAAATATCCATCAACTGATGAATGGACAGACAAATTGAGGAAAAGTCATGAGTAACTGGAAGACTTTTTGGTCAATGACACATCACAAATACCACAATGGTCCCATAAAATTATAATATTGTATTTTTAGTGTTCTTTTCCTATGTTTAGATATACAAATACTTACCATTGTGTTATAATTACCTATAGTATTTAGCACAGTAACGTGCTGTATAGGTTTGTAGCCTAGGAGCAGTAGGCTTTACCGTATAGCCCATGTGTGTAGTAGGCTATAACATCATATACTCTACGATGTTCACATGACATAGTTCTCAGAATGCATCTGCATTGTTAAGCAACCTATGACTGTATTATATACAATGGAATATTATTCAGCCATGAGAAGGAATGAGGTACTGATACACAATACAACATGGATGAACTTTGAAAATGTTCGTCTAGGTGAAAAAACGCAGACACAAAAGTTTTCCTATTGTGTGATTCCATATATGTGAAATGACCAAAATAGGCAAATGGGTAGAATTGGTAGAGACAGAAAGTAGATTGGTGGTTTCCAGGGGCAAGGGGAGTTGGGAGAGGAATGTTAATGACTACAGAGTTTTTCTTTTGAGTGATAAAAGTGTTCTGGAATTAGTGGCAATGGTTGTAGAATATGCTCAAAACTTTAAATGGGTGACTTTTGTGGTATGTGACTTATGTCTCAATTAAAAACAAAAAGATTAATCAAAGGGTGCACAGCCTTGCAAAGCAAATACAAATATTACAACAATAACAACAGAAGTCCTAGGGAGGATTTCTCTTTAGCAGAAAGGAAGTCTGTTGTTGTCAATCATATGTAGCAAAGAAGAAAGCGGAAGAAGATTAAGCAAAACTGGGAAAATAATGCCCTTTTTCCCCCAAGAGTGATGGAATTCTTAGCCATCACCTTCCTGACAAGTTTTTACTTTCTCTTTTGAGAATTAGGGGCCAGATACATTGCCTTCCCAGCATACCAAGGCAACTGATAGAGAAGATTCAATCAGTTGATGAACCTAGAGAGACATGATGATGATGGTGAGACCCTGCCTGGCCGGAAGGCTGGGGAGGTATTGAGAGAGCTGGTAATACAGCTTGCTGGACCAGTATAGTCAGCAAGACCTGAAAGAAGTCACCAGCACCACAGTCCCATGGTTGAGAGCAAGTTTGCTCAGAGGTCCAGGGTATGTCCAATGAAGTCACGAGGTCAAGGGTGGATCACTTCTGAGAGCAGATGATTACAGATGCTCTTAAGGGAACAGATGACCCAAGAGAAGACCCATCTTTGAGAGTAGATGCAGGGCATATTGGGTGCAGAGAGCTTGTGCTCTTAGAGAGCAGGGCCTTGTATGTATGAGTATTGGCTGTGAGAAGCCAGGACTGGGGCTGCTGCAGAAACTGTCGTGTCGGCACAGGCAGCAGTGGCAGAGCATGTTTCACAGGTAAATCCTCACTGTGGATAATCCAGTGCTCAGCTGTGCTGAGGGTGGGCTGGACGTATATGGGTGAGTCCATGCTCCCAGGCATTATGGGTCAACTGCAGGTTCCAGAGGGAGAGCATGTAAGTCAAGACAGAAGGTAGAGAATTCAGCAAGGAGAACCAGGTCAGGCCAATGACCTTCAGCTCCTAGGGTAGGGAGAGGGGTGTTCGCTGTTGGTGTTGTTTTTTAGTTTACCAATCTCTACAGAGGATGACTTGGCAGACAGAGGGACAAACTAAGGGAAGGAGATGACACATCTGAGGTCTGCTTTGTGCCTCACAGGTACATGATCTCCATGGCTCATTACAAATAGATACAATTAGGTCCTGTTTCTAGAAGACTGAGACACAAGGAGGTTCAGCTGACCTAACAGGGAGGCTCAGTAACCAGCCTGTGATCACAGGGTGGAGAAGTGGTGAAACCACTGTTCCAGTGAGGTGTAAAGGGCTCCACTTGTATTATTTGCAGTCTATAGCCCTTCTTCTTAAAAAAAAGTGCACCTCATCTATTAAACGTATTTGTAAGTTAAGTTCTTGAGATATAATTAAATCAACCTGTGTATGGTCCACTCACATTCTTTGATGTTTTATGCATTGTTTTCTTTTGCCATTTCTTAGGCCCAGAATGAAAGAAACAGCTCTGGCAGGGATGATAAACCAAACACCCTTGAAATGGCTGGGTCCGGCTGGCCACCCAGTCATATTTTCCAGGATAAAAAGGGGGCTTTCTTGACTTAGGGAAAATGCCAGCCCCTTAGTGACTCATGGTAGTTTGGAAACTCCATAGATGATGGCATGAATTCTAATTTATTACATGAAAATGCTATAGAATGAGAGACATTTACAAGATCTCAAACATTTAAGGCAATCTTTTTAACAACAAAACAGTCATTTTAGTACAGTTTCAGTATTCTTTCTCTCTATAAATATAATCCACAAATATTTGCATTTAGTGTAGGGAAGTGGGAAGTGAACAGTGTTCGGCCCATCCTCAGACCCAGTCCTAGCCCAGGCCAGGAGGGCTGGTTGAGTCTTGGAAGGCCACTAGGCCAAGGGAAGAGCGTGGGCATCAAGTGGTCCTGAGCGGTTGGAGAGGGTTGTGAGGGAGGAGGAACAGAAGTTCTCCCTTTGGGGATCGGGTCCCCAAAGGGAGAAAATGAAGAGGCCAAGGGGTGAGGGTGAGGGGCCCACCAAGGGTGGGGAGAGATGCTTGGGATAAATGTAGGCTGGGTATCAAGGGAAACAAAGAACAGAAACATTCTAGCTGTTGGGAAGGGTGGGTGTTCCAAGACTTACCAGGATGCTGGGCTTTTCACCTGTAGGACACCTCCAGGAGGGCAGCTGCAACCTATGAAAGGGAGGTGGTGGTGAGAACACAGTGGAGGAAGTGAGTGGTGGATTAGATTGCTCAATGCAGTGCAGGGGTGGAGCTCCTGAGGGTGCGGGTGATTCTGATAACTTTGAATAATTAGTTCCCAGGTCAGCTCTTGGATCCATAGTCATTTCACTGACTCGTAGAGTTTATATTGGGAAGGGACCTGAGGGGTTTTCTAGCTAGTCTTTTCATTTTACAGATGGGGAAACAAGCCCAGACAAAGGAAATGGCTTGCCCAGGATTGCATGGATTTCTTTCATCTTTGCTGTATCTCAGAGCCCCTGGCTCCTTCAGCTACCTTGTCTGAGTCTCCTGGCACTCCAGCTGCCTCAGGCTTCCCCGTCGTACCATCGGCAGTACTATAGCTGTTGAATGTCTTTCACATGTCAAAGGGGAGCAGTGCATTAAAACGACAGAGATGGACTAAAGCTTCTGGTGAGTCTGGTGGTGTTCCTCCCTGGACCTGATGCCTCTACTTTTCGGCCCCACTCCTGCCTCTCTTCTTTCCCCTCACTCCCCAACCATCTGCTCTGACCACAAGTCCATCTCTGGGTATTGATATTCTTTCTTGGTTCATACACTTGGCATTGGGTCTGAGGACCCCAACTCTGTAGCAGCTACCACCCTTGGAGCCAAGACCCTCTAATTTGGAAAGAAAGCCTTTTGGTAAAAGTGAAGATTCCACCCAAGTCCAAATATATTTTTCAAAACAGTGTTGAGTGACCCTAATAATGTATTTTATCAATTTGCTATTGATTACAAATGAATGAATTAATCCAGGGAGAGCTATGAACACTAATTCTGCTCCCTCCCAAGTGCCCACCCCAGTGAACAACACCTCAATCCTCTCCATTACTCTTTACCCTATCTCTTGCTCCATGCATCCCAGGGCCCAGAGGGCACTCAATGCCTGTGGCAGACGCACTTAAACTGCCTACCTACCCCAAAGAAAGAATGTTTGAGTCTAACTGTTTAGCAAATGTTTCTTAGTCTTCGTCACCTCTCTTTCCCAAGCTGGGGAAGAATGCAATGCCACCTGGCCAGCTGACGCTAAAACCAGATAGAGGCTTATTACATATGGAGAGAGGCAGATGAGACCAGAGCTAGCTGAGCAATTCTGAGCTACTGACTTTTCCCATCTGAGTCTCAGTTTACTCCTCTGTAAAATGGGGCCAATACAGACTCCAGCTTATGGGGTTGTGGTGAGGATGAAATGAGGGATTGCTTGTAAATCATGTAAGACATACATAAAGTACAACGTTAACCTTTATTATTGTGATCATTATTACCGGAATAGTTTATTCACTGATAACATGCTGCCTCTCTCACTACATCCCCAATCAAGGGAAAGCAGTGGGCAGTGGGTCTGCTTTCAAGGCTGACTTTGATGACATCTAATTTGCTTTGCCCTGGATATTAATTGCCATATTAGCTGTAATGTTGAATGTCTACCAGGTTCTAGCTTCTGGGCAAAGTGCTTTCTAGAATTTATATCAATTAATCCTCAGGACAACCTCATGAAGCAGGCACTTTCTGGATGAGGAAATGAAGACTCTGAGAGGTTAAGCAACTTACCTAGAGTGACACAGCTGAATTAGGCTTTCAGTTTAACAAACCTCTAAAAATCTACTCTCAAATGCTATCTCCTGTTCACTGTAATAAGGAGCAGGATCCCAGCCTAAAGTTTCTGAGCCTCATTAGGTACCTCCTTGTGTCCCAGAAAGCCAGATACGAAGGATGTAGAGAGGGGAGCCCAGATTTGACATTTCCCAGTCAGCCTCCTTCACACTCCTTAGGTCAATTTCATTTCCATGGAGATCACTGCTGTTATATGTAGGGTAGAGTGAATTAAAAAACTGGCTTCTGGTGAGGTGGCTCATGCCTGTAATTCCAGTGCTTTGAAAGGCTGAGGCGGGTGGATCACTCAAGGCCAGGAGTTAGAGACCAGCCTGGCCAACATGGTGAAACCCCGCCTCCACTAAAAATGCAAAAATTAGCCAGGCGTGGTTGCACATGCCTGTAATCCCAGCTACTCCAGAGGCTGAGGCATAAGAATTGCTTGAAATAGGAAGGCAGAGGTTGAAGTGAGCCGAGATTGTGCCATTGCATTCCAGCCTGGGTGACACAGCGAAACCCTGTCTCAAACAAAAACAAAACAAAAACCTGGCTTCTAATCCTGCTTGGAGAAGTCATTCTTTCTGGGCCTTGGTGTGTGCCTTTGGAAAATGGGAGCTTCTTTCAAGTCTATTCTGTCCAGCATGATAGCTACTAGCCATGTGTAGCTATTTACATTAAAATTAATAAAATAAAGGCCAGGCAAGGTGGCCCATGCCTGTAATCCCAGCACTTTGAGAGGCCGAGGTGGGCGAATTGCTTGAGCCCAGGAGTTTGAGACCATCCTGGGCAACACGGCGAAACCCTGTCTTTACAAACAAACAAACAAACAAACAAAAAACCAAAAAAACCCCCCAAAAATTAGCTGAGTGTAGCGGCACGTGCCTGTAGCTGCAGCTACTTGGGAGGCTGAGGCGGGAGAATCACCTGAGACCTGTAGATCAAGGTTGCAATGAGCCAAGATCATGCCACAGCACTCCAGCCTGGGCATTGGAGTGAGACCCTGTCTCAAAAAAGAAAAAATAAAATAAAATAAAATAAAAATTGAGATCCTCAGTCACACTAGTCACACTTCAAGTGCTCCGTAGCCACGTGTGACTAGTGGCTACCATATTGGGCAGGGCAGATCTAGGACATTTCTATTATTGCAGAAAATTCTTTTGTGCAGCGCTGTCTAGGTGAAGACTTAGTTGTCTTTAGCTCTAAGTTTCTACACTTCATCACCCTAGTTCTCAGGTCCTCAGAGGAGGCTGAAGTTTCTAGATCTCTTCCATTAGAAATATGTCCCCAGCATCTCAGACTGAACAAGTCACCTACCTGCTGTTATTGGAGTGGCCAC